AAAAATTTACTAACTTTTTTTATTTACATTGTTCGGGCTGTTGTCATCTTTACTGTCACATTCACATTTCATTTCGGCCATTGTATGCTCCAGCCTTCTTCAGGTGATATTTGTTGGGATTTTGAACCGAACACTATTTGGTTCACAGGAGTATATTGTTCTCATTCCATGTACTATACCTCTGGATACCTCAGGAGACATGGCCCAGTGGCTAAAAAATGTTGGTTGATTGATCCAAAAATGACTTGACCCCAAAACAGTCGTGAGTTCAATCCCTCGTCTCAGGAGAGAACAAGGCAAATTAACTAAAAACTGAGATATTCAGAGGGTAAGCAGTGGCTACCCAGACAACACATCTCATTATATATAATTTAGGAATATTTCTCGGATTTCAAATGGACTTTCAAAAGTTAAAAACAAAACAACAACACCGGAACACCCCACAAAAAAATTTTTTTAACCAAAATTTCGAACGTGTTAAGTGATTAAAAAAAGCTAAAATTGGTTTTTAAAAATATTTTAAAAAAGAATGGCCAAACATTTTGACCATGAAACTTTATTTTTATAAAGTTTGGGGCTTTTTTTTTTTTTAAAAAAAAAAAATTTTTTGTAAGTAACCATTTTTTTTTTTCGTTTCATTGACTGGCGAGCCTGAGTGAAAATTAATTAAAGACTTTAAATTAAAGTCAATAGATTTTTTTTTTTTTTTTAAACGACCCACTCTTTTACTAAAGTAAAGATTTTAGTTTACAAAATAAACATTAGAAATTCCGTTTTTTTTTGTTTTTTTTTTTAAAATAAAAGTTAGTGATTTATAGAAATACCAATTTAAAAATTTGACCCGACAAAAAAAAAAAAAAAATTGTGGCTCAACAAAACTAGTGTACTGTAAATTTGTAAAATATTTTCATAATGTTCGACCTCCTTTCTTTTATGTGCAATTATGTGTGTAAATCACACACACACACAATTCCAATTTAATTAAAAACAGTCTTGTCAAAGGGAATTAAAGTAATTATGCCACGGTATTTTTCTTGCCATTCATTACAAGTCTCCCATATACACAGTACACACAACAAAATAGAGTTTCATCGTTGATCTTGGGTTTTTCATTTTATTTTTAAGTCTTTTTGCTTGTTGTTGACCATTTCATAAAAATGCTTAGTTTAAAGCTCAAATATTGAGCTACTCTCGTACGTTGGTAAGAAAAAAAAAGTCTTAAATTTAAGTGAGAAAAATAACCAAATTCACTAGTAAAGTCCAGTATTAGCTTGACAGAAATATTTTTTTTTTTTTTAAAACAAGAAATAAGATTTGAAAAAAGGTTTCGTAATTAGTAATTACTTAGTTTTTTAAAAGTCAGTTTCACAATGTAAATTAAAATCTGCGATAATTTTTGTTGAAATGTTTTCTTTGCCATAATTCAAATAAATGCCGTAAAAAAAGTTTTAAAAGAAGGCTTCTTAGTATGAAACATGGTAACACATTCCATAAATGATCCTAAAAAGCTTAGTAAATTAAAAATAGTCAATGACTCAATGAAAGCTGCGTAAAAAAAAAAGAAAAAAAAGTGTATGAATGACAAACATAATGAAAAAAAAGTTGAAAGAGAAGAGAATGATGATGCCATATTTTGTACTGATTATTTCCTCATACGGAGCACTCTTTAAAAGAATTTAGCAAATAATTATTTTAAAGTTTTAAATGCTAATTAAAACTTTAAGAAATTTAAAACATTATCTTTAAACAGCTACCAACTACTTAAAAGAAAAATACTGGTCGTTAATATTAGTTTTTGAGCATAAAAAAGTGTTTTCGAATAAAAAAGGTAATTTCTTTTCACACAATTCTTCATACTGTAAAAAAAAAAAAAAAAAAAATTAATCAGTAGACTTGTATTAATAAAATGTACGATTTAAAAAAAAAAAAAAAAGTCCGGCAACGGCAATTTTTCGTTGTATTTGTTTACTGAACGACTTATGACAAAGCTTTCTATTTATTTACAAAAAGCACCTCCGGTTTAGAAAACAGCTGTGATGAAAATAAAGTGTTAGTTTCTGTATTTAAATTTCGAAAATATGCAAAATTTAATTTCTTCAATGCCGGCAGAATATTGCCAAAAATCATTTTAAACAAGGTCTGCATTATGAGACAAGAAGAGAGAAACATTACCATATTAAGAAAATAAAAAAAAGGGGAAGGAAAAAATAGATATGGAAAGAAAAAAGTCTAATGGAAAAACAGGCAAGTCTGAGTAGCAGGCCTTACAGTTAAAAATGCGCTGACAAGCCTTGCTTTCTTAAAAGGATTTTTAAAGAAAGAACAACGAACATTCAAAGATGTTAGAAATAAAACAACTTTTTTTTCATGTTGATAAACATGTATCAAAATTTTTTTCGGTTCCATTAAAATTTTAAAATAATTAAATCAAGTTGTCGACAAATTTAAGTTCCATTTTTTGGGGTTTTGTTTTGAGCAAAAAAGTTTAAATCTCTTGGGAATAATTTAAAACGTCAATAAAATCTACATAAAGAATTTAAAACATCTTGAAAATTTTTCACGTCTTTTTCATATAACGAAAAAGATGAAAATCAGACATTGCTTCAAACTTTCTATTTCATGATACTAAAAATACGTAAAGAAAAATAAACAAAAAAATAACAAACTTAACGTCAAGCGTAGAAATCGGTATAAAAAAAAAAAAAAAAAATTCATTTTTATGGTCACCCCATCATCACAGAGAGACCCGGCATTAGGGAATCCCACAACACTAACAGGAATTTGTCACTTAAAAGATGTTTAGTTACGTAATAGCTGTTGTAAAACGTACTGGATACAAGCTGTTATTAGATTAACCAAAGTTTCTTTGAGAGGATTTTTGAAATTACTCTTCCTCCAGTACTGAATTAAACTTTTAAAACTGATTGAATTGTCAGTGATATTACCCCCAAAAAGCTTTGGAACATAACGAGGAAGAATTTCTTTATTTTTTTTTAAATTTAATAGTCCAGATTCCTAAACTTCAAAAGATAAGTTTCTGAAAAATTAATAGAAATTTTTTTTTTTTAATTCAAAACATTGTCCAAAAAAAAAAACTTTTAGCAAAAGCCGGTACAACTTAGACTGGTCCCCTCATAAATTAAAACTTAAACTTAAAAGCAAAAAAGAAAATTTAAGGCCTTGTGCCAGCGACAAAAAACTAAGTTTATTAAATAAATTTTAAAAATGTTTTCCAAAACTTTTGCTGTTAAAAAAAGCAAAGTTTTGGAAAACATTTTCTCCTGTCATACATTGTTTCCCTTCAAGGTTTTTATTTTCCATTCTATTTTTTAAAAAAAAAAAAAAAAAAAAAATCCAAAGTTATTTTGCATAAGAATATTTTTTTTAAATATAATAATATTACTGAAAACGACATTCATTATTTCTCATAGTAAAAAATAAATTCGAAACAAGACAAACAAGATAAGAATGACAGTAAACAAAGAAAGGAAAAAAAAAAAAAAAAGGCTTCTTATGAAAAATAGACAAAAAAAATGTTTTCCTGAAAAATATTGTAATCTGAATAAAAAAGCAAAAATGCATCTCTATAACTAACAAGTTCATTGTTTAGTCATAACAATACTCCTAATTTAAAAGGACATTGTTTAACAACTAAAAAAAAATTCAGCAGAGACCCAACCTTTTTTTTTTAATTTTATCGTGTATCATAATGAAGATTATTTAAAAACAATAAAAATTAAACAAGTTTACGGCTAGTTAACTTATTCAGAGGGTCCCAAAATTTGTAATAAGCAAGATTTAATGAAAACAAAAGATTTTGGGACATCACTCACATGGGTTATTTTTCAGTTTTTAATATATTTGTTTCAGAACGTTTTACGGTGAAGTTGTCACGGGACCACATATCTTCCGCTTTATGTTTAAAGCCGATGATATGAATTTAAAGTTTATTTGAATTATGAAAATCTGTCAGGGTTTTTTTTTTTTCTCCCCCATGAATCTTTTATTAACCATTATAAAAAGAAGCTTCATAATGAGAAGTTTTGAAGGAACATTTACAATATGAAACAAGAAAAAAACTTTTAAATAACATTTATTTAGAGAGACTAGATTTGAATTTTAAAAAAATGTCTGGAACTCAGACGAGATGTAGAAACAAGAAACATTTTCCTTTTTAAAAAAAAATAGGAATAACTTTAAACAGTTTTTGAGTAAATTGAAAAATAACTACTCCAATGCACTTCATTAAATTTAACTTTGTATAATTCTTTAAAAAATATAAAATTAAAAAAGGGGGGGTGCTGTTTAAAGAATAAACAAAGCGTGTTTAATAAAGTGATAGATTTTTCAAGTATTTCCAACTGATAAATTGAATTAGAAAAGCTTGACAAAGTTTACTTCAAAAAATGTAGGTATTATTTGAAGATGATTTTTTTTTTTCATACAAGGTGTGTAAAAAAAATATATAACATACACACGTGCTATGACAAGGGACAGGAAACCCCAAATTTAAGGTAGACGATAAAATTCGCATTTTAACGAAAAAGAAAAGGCCAAAAAACAAGCGAAAATAATTTCAAAATACACTTTTTCTGGTGTGCAATTGACACTTCACTTCAGAAATATCGATCACTTATAAAAATAAAATAACGATTTCATCGTCTAACACGCAATAATAAAAAAGCATCAAATTCAAATAATAAACACCGTGCATTATACACACTCGTGTGCATGTTATTCAGACACCAAGTGCACAGACAAATGCACATACAGTAAACGTAAGAACTGCATTAAACATTGTTAAAACTAAGATTACACACCTATGCTGTACTGTGTGTATATATATAAATATATATATATATGCACACACATACTTGCAATACATCATTTCATTTTACACATACATCACAGGTAAATGTATAAAAATGATGAAAATGATTATTGCATGTGTTTTGTCTACATATGATAAACAACATCAAAGTATAAAAAGCATTTCTTACTATGTCCAGATTTTCGTCATCAGACTCAATCGACTCGGCCAGTCCAAATTCCACGTCGTCTCCATTCTTCTTTCTTCTCCTTTTCATCTGGTTGTTGGCTTCATCGTCGCCACTTCGTTTCTTGGGCGGCATTACAAAAAAATATTTTCCTTTTCTTTCCTACACGAAATCCAGATGGTTCTTCTTGTTTTCAATTATAATCAACCCAGAGCTATTCTCATCCAAGTGTTTAAAGTATTTTTTGTATATACACATATATATATAGTATGATTTTGTAGGGGATAGACACTAAAAAAAAACAGAATGGGTCCCTTCTTCCACGGACGCAAAGGGGGGAAAAAAGTCGGTACCCCAAACTGTGGCTAGAGCTCCTCCCTGTCTTCTTTATATCTTTGTTTGTGGCGGTAAAACTAAAATAAAAAGACAGGAGAGGGGGCACCGCCGGTTATAATGTCGATACAAGAAGACCTAGAGTGAAAAAGACAAAAACAAAACAAAACAAAAAAAAAATAATAGAGAGAGAAAGAAAGAAAGACTTAGACAAATATATCTATAAAGAGATTAGTAATATACGAGTGAGTGAGTGTGTGTGTGTGTGTGTGTAACCATGTTAGTAAATTCCACTTGGCTGCACTTTGTAAAAGCCACTGGCTCTCTTTTAAAAAAGAAAGATTAATTTAAAAATAAAGAACTAAATAATTAGAAAAGAGAGAAAGGGGGCGCAGACTGTAAGATGAATTAATAAAGAGAATGAAATCAAATAGCATTAAATTTTAAAAGTAGTTAAAAATTTTCCTATTCAAAAGTGGTAGTTTTAACAGAGCTGTATGGCCCCTCTGTCCCATAGATGAGCGAGTCGAGTAATGAGAAAGAAAGAGAAAAATCCTGGAGATGTAGTCGATTGTGGTGACAAATATACCGCGAAAAACAACCAATTCAAGCAAATGTCCTACTGTTTAGTGCTTCTTCTTGCTTAACTTGTCCGTAAGGGTGTCTATTATGTCCTACATTGGCATGATTCCTGACGTTTTTGGCTACTTTTCAGGTTCTTTTTTTCCCTCCCTACCTTCTTTTTAAACATGAGAAAGGGTGTGTAGTTAAATTGGTAAATTAAATTAATTTACAATCAGAAGTTAACTTACGAATCAATCAGAAAATACAACACACAATTTTTTTTTAAATATTTTTTTTTACTTAAATTTAAAATTTTTTTTTTACTTTTTTTTCCAGGATTTTTTTCTTTATTGTGTTTATCTACAATGTTTTATTTTCTTAAATGGTAAAAATGAATAAAAAATAAAACGTTTAAAAGTTTTCTTTCTTGTAGTTCTTTAAAGAACATAAGGGTAAGTTGGGAGATAATAAAGAATAAAAAAAAAAAAAAAAACTTTACTTTTTGTTACATTTTGTATGGAGGGGGGGGCATTTCTTAAACCCAAAAGAAAATTGTCGGTTTCTGTAAAAATAATACAAAGAAACACATAACACCACTATCAGAGTGAAAACAAGATTCCATTTATTTATTTTTTTAAGTGATGGTGTTATTTACATTTATTTAGTATTGATGTTATCAGACATAGTTTTTAAACTAAAGTGGCAGATGCTACTTCTGCTGGTGGGGAATCCCGCAGGTTCTCGCTTAACGGTCAACGAGATTTGAGAAGAGACTAACAGCAGCTGCAAGATTGAGTGATGATAGATACATAACTATAGCCAGGGTAGGTAAACTCGAAATTTTCACCGAAAGGTTGATTGATACATAATAAAAGGTGACGGTCTGAAAAGAAGTGAGTATATCTGATAGAGATATGCGCATACAGAGAGTGGATACACTTCCTGGATTATCAGTCACAAAGCGAGAGTCAATAATCTTCAAGTCAAAGGCAAAGTTTTTTTTGTGTGTGTTTTTTTTACCTTAAATGAATACGCTCTAAATAAATTCATGTCTATAAGAATTTAGTGAGATAATTATTATCATGAGTTCTCTCTTTGCTGCACATATTCCATATCAGCCAAAGCGGCCGGAAAAAAAGAATTTCCGGGTACATTAAAATGTAACCTACTCATTAAGGTTGTCTAGTACCAAGTGGAAAGAAGAGCTTGCTTAAAAATAAAATGTTTATTCAAACTTGATCACCCATTCTTGGTACTGGAAACAAACAAAACTATTTCCAATAGTCAGACAAACTCACAGATAGATATGAATTATATAGATCAAAGTCCTGTAATTCATTATGGTTTGTTAGAACACTGCATGTACTGCAGCTGTAACAGTAGTGGTTGTGTCCAGGGCATGATAGCCTGATTGAGCCTACTGTTATTTAACCCATAGCTGGAGGAGGAGAAGAAAGATATTCATGTCTTTCCCAAGGACAAGATTAAATGGATAAGAACAGACTGAGATGGATATATAGATAGATAAGAACAGACTGAGATAAGAACAGTCAAAAGATAACTGATTGAGATGGTAGGTACAAATAAGTATAACTAATGTAACTCACCTAAAAATCAAATTCCCTTCGCTATTTTGGTAGTTTTATGTGGATTATCAATTCCGAAAGAAATCAGCAATTAATATCCTTGCAAAAAATATGGATCCATTTCTTTCTACACGGTCTTATTTCCAGATATTTTAAGGAAATATCCCGTTACTGGCATGCCATGAGGACACTAAGTGAATAGGCATTTAGGGAAACTGTTTTTGTATAGGATGTGCACATGGTTTAACAGATAACACGGAAAGTGCAATCAACAAAACGAGTACAAATTCTGTGCTTGTTGGTTGCAATCACTTTCGCACAGTTGGGATGGATTTATACCTTTCCCAGAAAGGTATAAATCCATCTGCCCACTCCTAGCTACAGGTTAAAATACTAGAGTAGATTTGTCTGTCTAGCTTTTGTTTGCAACCAGTCTAAGAGAAGGAAAACACTGATTTCCAAACTATGGAGAAGGCAACAGGAAACCACTCCACTATCCTTTCTGAGAAGTTATGGCAATTTATAAATAACAATTACATACAATTACAAAAAGTCATAACCCTAATATATATATATATATATATATATATATGTATATATATATATATAATACAAGTAAAAGGTTTGTGACTTAGTTGATTGATATTACCTTCAGCATCCTGACTCCAGAGTTTCATAGATGGACCCTTCAGGAATTACTCTGTCCACTCAGCAGGGGGTATCAGCAATATATATATATATATATATATATATATATATATATATATATTTAGGCAACATATCTTCATTCAAGCATGTTTGGTTGAATAATCTAGATATATTATGTCTATTTTTATTTTAATCCTCTACATTAGATCAGAATGTAGTACCTGTGCATATATATATATATATATATATATATATATATATATGTAGTACATGTGCATGAGACAAATGGTAGTGCTATGGCAATATAGAATTAACCTTTTTGCCAATAATTCATAATTATTTTTTTTGCTTTGTTACATTTTGTAGCTGAGTGGCAAGCTGGCAAAATGGCATTTGGCCTGAAAGTATATATGCAGCAAAGATGCTTCACTGAATTATGAATTCCTCTATGCAGAAAAAAAATAACTGCACTTAGCCTATTGAATTCATTGACATTTACAGAGACCAAATAATGAATGTGAGCACTGTCAGCAATGGCAATAATAATGTGTGGGGCAAGCCATGTTTCTGACATTTCTGTACAGCTGTTAATGAAATATTCATTTCTGTTAAAAATGAATAACCAGTGGTAGTGACTATGTAGTATTTTGTAGCTAAAAATTTGCTCTATCTGATGGTGTTAATGTGTTCACTGCTTTTATTGGAATTTATCTGGAAATAGTAGGAAACATTATGAATATAACAATTTGATCTAAGGCAGATGTGGCATAGAGTGGCACTGATTATATGCATAATGTGCAGGTACTACACTCTGATCTTAGTCAGATGTGAAATAGACATATCTGCTCAGTTTCCTATCCTAACATATACAAAGCAATTTGTAAAGAAAGTAATGGATTTTTTAATTTATTAATCTGACAGATTTTTATTGCTTAAACATTATTTTTAGTGGATACTCATATTTGAGTAGACGTTCCGTTTATTTATTAAATATTATATTTATTTTTGTCTGCTGGCCTGAATATTCGAGAAATCTTATTAGAGAAAAATACTCAAATACAAGTATCTTCTAAAAATAACATTTAAGTAATAAAAATCTGTCAGATTAATAAATAAAAATCCACTCCTTTCTTTACACACACACACACACACACACACATATATATATATATATATATATATATACTACAGGCAAAAAATTTGGGGCCACCCTGCATTTCTTGAAAAAAAAACACCATCAAATGAAATATTTTAGATTTTAGTAACTACAGTGTATTTGCTTTTATTTTGACAAAAAATAAGCACTTAACTATCAATAATTATCATACAACACCATCATATTTTGTTTTCATCAATAAAACCACCACCTGCCTTACTTACTGCTTTACAAATTCTTGGCATACTTTCCAAAAGTTTTTGAAAAAAAAGTAGATGGCAGACCTTCCCAATCATTCTTCAAGCATTGAAAAAGCTCACTCTCACACTTTAGGTATTCTCTTTGATCTCTCTTATCCAATTCATTCCAAACTAATTCAATGGGAGAGAGGTCAGGAAATTGTGCTGCCCAAGTCATAATTTCCAAGATTTTGTTGCTTTTGTTTTGACTTGAGGTAATTTTAACATAATTTAGAAGTGTTTTGGATTGTTGTCTTGTTGAAAGGTGAATTTTTTCCTATTATGAATAAACAAGATTGTAATGATATTGTTCTTTTTTTCATGATACTCTTGAGCTGAATCAAATCTCCAACCCCCTCACCCCACCCAAAAATAACCCACACCCTAACAGATCCACCAACATACTTAACTGTTGGAACCACATATACAGTGTAACCTGGATATAAGAGAGTTGTCGGGACTGGAGAAGAAGTCTCTTATATCCGGCTTTCTCTTATATCAGGGTTTGGTCTATTTTGTTTAGGTAAGTATGGGAACACTTTGGGACCAGATAAAATCTCTCTTATATCCGGGTTTCTCTTATATCCGGGTCTCTTATATCCGGGTTAC